CGCTGTTACAACACTGATCAACTTCTACTCAGCTGCTAATTAAACCAATAGTCAACCATTATTCAACGCTGTTACAACACTGATCAACTTCTACTCAGCTGCTAATTAAACCAATAGTCAACCATTATTCAACGCTGGTACAACACTGATCAACTTCTACTCAGCTGCTAATTAAACCAATAGTCAACCATTATTCAACGCTGGTACAACACTGATCAACTTCTACTCAGCTGCTAATTAAACAAATAGTCAACCATTATTCAACGCTGGTACAACACTGATCAACTTCTACTCAGATGCTAATAGTCAACCACCGGTCATCTACACAAATTCATACTTAATGCTAGACATTTAAAAATAGAAAAGGGGCTGTGGTGTTGATTTGTGTTTTACTCAGAATTTGAGCTTTTCGCAGGAGGCAGATTTACAGCTCCAGCAAAAAAAACATTGTTCAAAACAGATACCCCCCCACCACATGGAGTTGTTGACTCCTCTACCTGGAACTGTTGTTAAATGACTTTTTTACAATTTAAGATATCTGGAACTTTATATTATTTTTTACTAAAAATAGCCCACTGAACAATGGCAGCAGCCATGCGTGACCTTCCAATCTACTAAAGTTACATAATAACACATGCATTCAAGTAATTCACCTTATGACAATCACAATTACAGTTATACATACAAAAAAATGTACATAAAGAAATATTATTTGCGTCTTTTTTTATGGAGAATGAATAAGAGAAACATTCATAGTACATTATAATGTACAATTTAAAATGCCAAGTTCAGTTTGATATCGGATTATATCCTCATATCATTCATCCATAAATTTAGTTTTAGAATGGTGCTGTTGGTGCAAATAAATGATATATACATGTAAACAGCCTTATGATTCAATGATTTCCAATGTAGGTACTCACACATGCCCCAACTCATGTGCTATAGTGAAGGCTGCGCTGATCCCATTGTCTTCTATAATAGAGCAACTTCGTCTGCCATCACAGACAGTACCAAGCTCAGCCAGGCCTGTGTGCGCAAAATGAGAAAATTCCTTGATTGAATTAGTGCTGTCAGGTAAAGTTTTGTCCAGAAATAAAGTAGAATAAATGTTTTACTGTTATTTTACAACAGAGGTAAAACAATATTTTTTAAAAATGTTCACAAAGCAGTTGAGATGGTTAGTTTTCTCATAGTATTTTATAGGCTAATTTTAATCAACTAACAATAAAATAATTCGATTTTACTGATGCCTTCAGGATGGGGGATTAGATAAGGGCTGGCAACAAAACAACAAAAACAGCAACTAAAATAACAACAAACCAAAATATCCAGGTATTAATGAATGGAATATAACCTACCGAGTGTGTCGCACTTGCCTTGAGCTCTACATATATCTTCTCTGAAAGACAAACATTGCCAAATGTTAAATAATGAATGCAAAAAGTTAAAAAACTGCATGTTTTTATCATTGACTGAGGTATGGGGTGTGGGGATGGGGCATAGCGCTTATTTTTAATAGGGGGGATTTTTTCCTAATGAATGCATATTTTAAAAAAAAAATGTAAGTATGTGGAAAAAATCTAACAAAATTACGCCTCTGGGTTTAATTTCATGTATTTACAAGATAAAGAAAATCAATCCTGATAATATGATGTTGAAAGTAAATTTTGTGGTTAAACAAATGGTGTTTCTAGGTTTACAGAGTAAATAAGAAATGGCTAATACTAATACTAATGGCTAATATTATTTTTCTCATTGTCATTTGCCTCAATTTTAAAGGGCAGGTTCAACCATAATGGACTTACCACCATTTAAAATGGTTCCTACAGTAGTAAGCTTTAACCGAAGATATAAATATAAAGGATATAACAGAAATTTTAAAAACTTTTGAGCTAAGCTTCAAGTACACAAAAAATATGTCAACATTGCTTCAACACCATTTGAGTTACCAAATGCTGCCTTATTCAGGGGAAGTAATTAACAAATAGACAAAAAATATTTGTTAGTTACTGCCCTTTGATTTATAAAATTCGAGTGGAATTTCCCACTACGATGAACAAAAACTACACCGTGAAACACAAAGATAATCATAATTCACCAATAAACTCCTAATAAACCCATATATAATGCACCATATTACCTTGATGATCAACAAGAGAACCCGCTGTTACCAGTCCATGATAAACCACACGTCATCATCATACACCATTATACACATTAAACATATAATCATACTTCCTTATAAACCATTACATCCCTACTACACAATTATATTACTTTATAAACCGTGGCTATACCTACCAAACGATGATACATTTTGATACACAATTATACACCATCACACACCATAAAACACACTGACACCCCTCACACATCACCTCACTCACATGCTAACCCATTACATGACATAACACAATGGTACACCATGACATCACTTCACACACCCACCATCACAGACAACCTGAAATACCAGCCCGAAACCACGCTACATAGTTATACCACCTCACATACGACCTCAGGCACAATAATACACCATGACACCAACGCATGTAGATGACACCACTTCATACAACACCATAGGCATCATGATGCCCCATGACATCACGTCATACACCACCTCAGACACCATGATACTCCAAGACACCAACTCATACAGATGACACCAGCTCAGACACCATGATGCCCCATGACATCACCTCATACAGATGACATCACCTCATACACAACGACACCACCTGCCACGCCACGCTACGCCGTGCTACAACCTGACCCACCTGGTGAGAAGTATTGCAGTGTCAAAATGCTCCTCGCTGTTTGTATTTAAATCATTGATTTTATGCTGCCACAAACAGAAGTCTTTAAGTGAAGTTGCTGCATTGTGGGTAACTTTGAACGGCTGCTCCTGTGGTGTTGAGTTAGAATCAGTTACATATATGATGTCAAGACATAATTTACTATTTAGCTTTTGTTTCTTGGGGATATTTTGATATAAGGATTTGGGTTACTCTTGCATGAGAAGTTGCTTTCAGATTGAGCCCACTTTTATGTTCAGGGCCACCTTTATGTTCAGTGACAACTTTAGGTTCAGGGCCACTTTTATGTTCAGGGTCACCTTTAGGTTCAGGGCCACCTTTAGGTTCAGGGACACCTTTAGGTTCAGGGCCACCTTTAGGTTCAGGGCCACTTTTATGTTCAGGGCCACTTTTATGTTCAGGGTCACCTTTAGGTTCAGGGCCACCTTTAGGTTCAGGGCCAACTTTAGGTTCAGGGCCAACTTTAGGTTCAGGGCCACCTTTAGGTTCAGGGCCACCTTTAGGTTCAGGGCCACCTTTAGGTTCAGGGCCACCTTTAGGTTCAGGGCCACCTTTAGGTTCAGGGCCACCTTTAGGTTCAGGGCCACCTTTAGGTTCAGGGCCACCTTTAGGTTCAGGGCCACCTTTAGGTTCAGGGCCACCTTTAGGTTCAGGGCCACCTTTAGGTTCAGGGCCACCTTTAGGTTCAGGGCCACCTTTAGGTTCAGGGCCACCTTTAGGTTCAGGGCCACCTTTAGGTTCAGGGCCACCTTTAGGTTCAGGGCCACCTTTAGGTTCAGGGCCACCTTTAGGTTCAGGGCCACCTTTAGGTTCAGGGCCACCTTTAGGTTCAGGGCCACCTTTAGGTTCAGGGCCACCTTTAGGTTCAGGGCCACCTTTAGGTTCAGGGCCACCTTTAGGTTCAGGGCCACCTTTAGGTTCAGGGCCACCTTTAGGTTCAGGGCCACCTTTAGGTTCAGGGCCACCTTTAGGTTCAGGGCCACCTTTAGGTTCAGGGCCACCTTTAGGTTCAGGGCCACCTTTAGGTTCAGGGCCACCTTTAGGTTCAGGGCCACCTTTAGGTTCAGGGCCACCTTTAGGTTCAAGGCCATCTTTAGGTTCAAGGCCATCTTTAGGTTCAGGGCCACCTTCATGTTCAGAGCCACCTTTAGGTTCAGTGCATTTTTATGTTCAGAGCCACCTTTAGGTTCAGGGCATTTTTATGTTCAGGGCCACTTTTATGTTCAGGGCCACCTTTATGTTCAGGGCCACCTTTATGTTCAGGGCCACCTTTATGTTCAGGGCCACCTTTATGTTCAGGGCCACCTTTATGTTCAGGGCCACCTTTATGTTCAGGGCCACCTTTAGGTTCAGGGCCACCTTTATGTTCAGGGCCACCTTTAGGTTCAGGGCCACCCAGGGCTGGCTCAAGGCGGGTAGGATGCGTGATTTTTTAAAAATTGTAAAATTAAAAACAAATTTTTCCTGAACTCTTCCCATAATTATCCAGAGGGCGACCATTGCCTATTTTCACCCAACCTAAAAATGTCTAGTGCTGGCCTTGGGGCTACCTTTAGGTTCAGGACCACTTTTATGTTCAGGGCCGTCTTTAGGTTTGGGGCCACCTTTAGGTTCAGGGCCACCTTTAGGTTCAGGGCCACCTTTAGGTTCAGGCCCACCTTTAAGTTCAGGGTCGCGTTTAGGTGCGGCGTTGGATTAAAGAAATAGCTAGCATAATGTCGCAGATCATGGACTCTTTATTGGGCTGTCACGTGATTCTTTCTCAAGATATCTTTACATGATGTCCCTAAAGCCATTCTTTCCGTTGCGGATAAAAACAGACAGCCGAATGACGTCCTTATCTCTTAATTTTCCGTAAATGTTTATAATGAACTTTCTCGGATCGGAGCTCTTCCCACAAGACTAAGGGAGACCACTCGCCAAGGACGAGATAAGCGGAGCAACATTTAGAAACAAGCAGAACTGATTTGTTCAAAGGTATGCCGGCAAATCCAAGAGGAGACAAACACCGAGCTTACTAGAAGGAGACAAACAAATGACGGTTTGGGGGGGGGGGAGGGGGGGAAAGGGGGGGAGACAACATCGGCTTACCTAAAGGGAGATAAACAATGGTGTTACCGAGTGAGACAAACAAGCTACTTACCCAAGATGTTTCAAATATGACGAGTTTGACCACAACTACGTTGATAAAATTTCGTATAGATGGGTTCTGATAAATACTTTTTACCTGAAAAGAAATGTGTGAAAAACAATTGAGACGCATTTGGTCAAATATGGATTCCATTCCCGCGTATCCGGTGTTGTCATTTGAAGTCTTTGATAAGCCAAGGAACCGACATTTTTAAACAAAAGAGACATTTGGAACCTTTTAAAAACCATTGCATCATATTTCATTCTCTGGTATTGGTCATTGGGACCTCAAATTATAGAAAGATTTCAACGAATGCGGACCTGTTAACTCCTGGGTTAGTGTCAGAGTAGTTTTCAGCTCTCAAAAAGTAGTTTGGTCAATGAGCGAGTTGGGGGGGGGGGGGAAGGGGGGGCCCCGGGCGCTGGTTTGCCTTCAGAATACCCGTTGTGTAAGGAAATCCACTCAACTGCTTACGTAACCTAACACAAATAGATATGCAGGATATGGTCATCCGATTTGTTTCTTAAAAGGATGAGAAACGACTTAGGCAAGCACACTGGCAGTTAAGTTTTAAATCAATGCTCTAAAAGAAAAATAATCTGATTGGTTCATTGAGATCGAGACCGCAAAGGCCAATCACTGTTGTTCTTATTGGATTGCTTACGGTGTTAACACAAAAATTTATTATTTGAAAGAAAAAAATTAAATCAACAAACGAAAAAACTCCCAAAACCGAACTTTTTTTCTTCAAGACTCGTCGTAGTCTTAGGCTTAAAAGCGTAGTTACTACGGCGACAGTGTGGGTGTAAACAGGTCTGCGAATGCAGTAAAATTGTTTCATTATTTGAAAGTGTTTTTTTTTTTTTTTTTTTTTTTTTGGTGGGGTTTTTGTGTGTGTGTTTGTGTGTTTTGTTGAGTAATTCGGTGAAGGAGGCTAAGGCAGAGAAAGACCATTTGAAAAGCTGGTTAAATGCAAAAAATCAGCTTTAAATCAGACTACAAAAATCTCTCTCTCTCTCTCTCTCTCTGTCCGCACGTGTGTGTGCGCGCGTACGTGGGTTCTTTGCACAGAAGAAGCAAGTATACAAAAGAACAAAGTAGAGATAATCCAGGAGATTACGTGCTAAATCTATAAAAGGATGACATGACAAACGAGGCCTCTAAACACACGAGTTTCCACAGATTATACTCTCAGCTCATGTGAGTCACTCTCTCCTTCTCTTGAAATCTCAGCCTGCACCACCCACCCAGCATCCACCCCCCACCACCCATCCACCCACCACCCACAACCCAGCACCCACCCACCCAGCATCCCTTCAATCATCAATGTCATGCGATCTCCACTTGTTACAACCAGATTACATTGACTCATGACGGAATTTAAGGCCAAGAGTAATACAAGACTAAATAAAAGAAATGGACATATGACACCAGCACATGACACCATCCGTTATCTG